ATAAACTCTTTCCACTGGCCTTCTGAAAACACAAAGAAGGTGGGGTGGGGCTGACATTCCTTAGTGTTTACAGGATGCCAGATACAAACAGGCAGGCGGCTGGGGGCGTACACACTTTAACTATCCTACCAGGTATGCAGCGTGAGGGTGCCAGGCAAGGCACCTGGGAAGCCCAATGGCATGGATTTCACAGCAAAGGATAAATCCTCCCTGGGGCTTCTTAAAACCCAGGAACAGACACAGAGGGCAGCTTAGGAAGAAAGAAAGCCAGAGCCAGGAACCTGGCCTTGCATTTGCTGGCAAAGAGGACGAGAATAGAGCGAGATATCAATCTGCAAATATTTGAAAGCATAAACACTACGGAGTGAGAACATTTTTTGGCCTCACAGGCATGAGTTTAGCCAGCCTTCCTATCAAGACATGGCACTGTTAGCTGCGGTTGGAAATTGGAAGCAACATTCATAGAGATCAAGGGGAAAAGAGGTTCCCTTGCCAGACACAGCTATTTTAAGGGGGCAAAGGGCGAGTCATTAAAGGAGATGTGTAATGAGGATACATTCAATGCATGATGGAGCCTGGTTGTGCCATGTGGGCTGCTGGGCATCACCGAAAGCTCCAAAAGGTTCGCCATCACCGCTAGGTTCTATGCCACTGTCAAAGTGGTTCCTTGGGTTTTCAATTTGGAGTTTTCAAGGTAGAAAATGTGCACCTTTAACTTCAGAAAAGCAGCTCTGAACCGAGAACCCTGGAACCTAGACATTCCCTGAATGTGAAGTGATAGTGCTTGAATCTACCCTTCGTAGCAATATGCCAATGCCATGAAAAACGTTCCAGCTACTCAGATCGATTTTCCCTCTATCGCTGGTCGTTTGATGTGGCTAAGCACCATGATGGAGTGTGTCTGCTTTGTTTTTTCTCAGAGTTACTTAACAGGCTAATATTGATATAGATTCATTCAGTACACAAGTGTTGGGCTTTTCCTATACACGACATTGAATAGATTTTCTATGAAATTGGCAACTTTCTAGCTTCAGGGCTCCTCCTAGGAATAGATCATCTCCAAATCCTCACCTTAATCTCACAGTCCCAATTTCGCATCGAGTTTTTCTAAAAGAAAACCCCAAATCATGTAACCTTAAACTCTACAAAATCTTGAGTAAGCTTCCCACTGCAGAAACTGTGTAAGACTCTCACACCCATCCGCCTGATTCCAGGTCAGCTCCGACTAAAATGGGGTGGGCATGAGGCCAAGCTCAGACCCCCGTGTCCTCCAAGCACCCGGCATTGCACTGCAGTACTCCTCCTGGGAGCCACCCCTCTCTACTGCAGTAATCAGGGTGTCCTGTACTCCTAGGGACATGGTCTGCCATCCCAGGAGGCCATCTGCCTCAGATTCCTGCGCCTGAGTGAGAGTCAGATGTGACTTTTGGCCAGCTCAGGACAGAAGCTCTGCATTTGTGCTGCGGGGTCCCAGGGGAGAAACAAAGCTACTACTGCTTATTCTGTCACTAATTCTTCCCAACATTTCTGCTTTCCATGCTCAGTTCCTAGGAAGCACAGACACGCTTTCCCCTTAAAGAATTCCTTCTAGACGTGTGTGCTTTTGAACCTGCCTGGCTTGCTTCTCACCTTTGTCTTTCACAAAGCCACACACAGACAGGGCTGCGTTACTGCTGTGTTACAGATGACGGAAATGGCCAGCCCTGACTTTCTTCTTGTGGATCTCCTGATGTTGTCAGCATGATCAGGCAACCCTGCACTGCCTTCTTATTATGACTAAAGTAGCTGGAATTTTATACTATAAAATTTCAGGTGAGAACCACAGACTCTGTCCTAGAATTTGCCCATGCATGGACTTCTAGAATCAAATCACATTGTGGTATGCATGGGTTTATTGATGATTTCTCCAGCTAGGAGACAAGGCCCTCAGAAAGGGCACTAATTCCTGCCCTCTGCCTGGAGCCCAGATCCTCGCTATGGAGGGAGCACAGCTCTGAGGACGCGGGATTCCCCACTGTTGCGGGAACTGGCGTTCTGCAGTGATTATGTTCGGTAAGTTCAACTATCTTGCCCTACTTCTATCAGAAATGCCTATGTTCTCTGTTTTTTCCCTTCATCTTAGCAAAGTAATACAGTAAATAAAATTTCTTTCACAGAGCTCTTGTTTATAAATTCTTAATTATTTTATCTCCTTCTCTGCCCTTAATTCTCCCTTTTAATAGCGGAGAGTGGATTCCTTGTTCCCGTGCTTAGGGAGGATTCAAAGATCTGGTCTTTCTGGGTTTACCTCTGAACCTCTGCCTGGTCACATGGTTCCTTTATCTGTCTTCAAAGCTGGCCCAGGAAGCCACCGGAGGTGGTGGGTCACACCTGTCCTCCACAGGCGCCAAGAGGGGCTTCTCTTGGCTCACCCCGTACCTGTTCTCTGCCTGTGTCAACCTTGCTGGCCACAGCCCCCATCACACCAGAGAAGAGAAGGGTAGATAGTGACCTGTCCGACTGGCCTTTGCCTATGCTCGGTTTCTTTTTTTCAAGTGAAAGCTAACATTCATTCTCCCAACAAGTTCTTGTTTTGCAGGAGAGTTATTTTTACTTGGAAAAAGAATTCACATATTTGGAGACACCTGACTTGCTTTGGAGTGAAGGGCTTCTTGCTGCTACAGGGGCAGCATGGCCACTGGACTGAAGACTCTAGGAAATGACCAGGAGCCTGGCACACCTCATCTGAGCACATGCAGGGGCAGGGGCTGGCGTTCACAGACACAACCCGGCACGGCTCAGCCTCTGCGTGGCTGCTTCTAGGATTCTGAAGCAGCTGCACCTGCACACAGGCATACACACACACACACACACACACACACACACACACACACACACACTCCAGACTCAACCCTGGCCTCTGAGGCAGCCTGTACATGGGAGTCAGTGACTGCCCAGAGTCTCCAACAGATGAGTGGGGACGGCGCAGGAAAGACTATGTCAAAAATGTAACTTACACTGATGAAGGCAGAAAAACTTCGCCTCTCTAGTCAATGCCTGTAGCCAGCAGTGGGTGGATTTGCTTATACCCAGAGGGTTGCTATCCTCCTGTTATAAAATTGCACATATACACACACACATACATGCACGTATGCGTGTGCACACACACTCACACACATCTCCTGAAGCAAGAAACACCCAACTCTTCAAGATTTCTTCCAAGCAGGAGAGGGGGCACGGTGGGTCCCCAAGGAAGGAGCCAGAAGACCTGCTTTTGTTGGCTCCCTGACCACTGGCATGGGAAACCTGGGGTCTCACACTCTCTTTCCCCCCAGTCAACGACTGTCTGCATCGGTTAGAAGTGTGAGGAGAGGAAATTGAGCAAGCAGCCTTTTCTGCAAAGTGACCACAACTGTTGGTACAAGGAGGGAGCCGCCAGAGAGAAGGAAGGCTCTTCAGAAGAGCTTTTTCCTTAAGAAACCAGAATCACAGACTTCTCCTATGTTGATTTCTCTAAGACTCCCAAACTACTTCTGCATTTATTTAAGTCAGTGAAAACTTTTGGTGATGGGACCACTGGAAGTTTGGCTAAGCGATGCTCCACTGCAGCTGCTTGTTGCTCCTGCCCCAGAGACCTCTGGGTCACTCCCTTCCCGGTCAGTTTATTATGCTACCGCCAGGGAAGCAGGAAAACCGTAAATCAGTGAAGCCCCAGGAAGGGACTGGAAGAGCAGAGCCCAGGGAACGGGAGCGAGGTAAGTGTCTTCCAGTTGAGCTGGCAGTCAGTCTCCCTCGTGCGTAGATTTCACAACAGAATGGCATTTAAAAGTGCATTCCAGTTTTATGTGACACTTTCTTTTGATTTTTAAGAACAATTTTGGATTGGAGAGAATGTACCACCTAAGGCTGGAACTGATTGTGACCTATTTGTTTAAACATTTGAGAGAGGGAAAAAAAAAAAAAAAAAAAAACCAGGAAAGGACCTGGAATAACAGTTGATTGTGCGTGATCCCCAGGCTGCAGAGCAAGGACTTGAGAGTCATTGAGAACTTTTTCAAAATCCTTCTTAAAGGTCAAGAGGAAAAAGTTAAGATACGTTCAGATAAAAAGAAGGACCTCTGGACCTGTGGCTGTGGTGGTAGATATTTTTGTCTTTAATGTCCTAAAAAGTTCTGTGGGGTTTTTTCATGTTTGTTTGTCTGCTTGGGGTTTTGTTGGTGTGTTTTCTAACCTATAGCTTAAAGAATCGGTGAGGTCAGGAAAGATCGATAGAACAAAAATCCTGATTTCCTTCAGGCGACTACACGGCTAACTTCAGAAGCACAGCGAGGAGACGAAAGCAGACTTTACGGGTGTGATGTGGAAATTTCACCCTGTATAACATTTACTAGCTCAGAATAGTCTAAACCCACAGGCAGTTACACACAGATTATAAAAAGCATTATCCATGGGTCGTGAACAAAGTCCATACCGTCTGCAGAGTCAGAATTGTTTACATTTCTTATACCTACCGCACAGAAAACTTGCATAACTTTTTTCTCATAAGGCTAGGTAACAGATTTGAAAATATTCCGGTGAGGTTTCACCTTATGGCAAGCTAACAAAATCTCACCACCAACAAAAGAAATGCCTGCCAGAAATCAGCCAAAGCACTATACAATCGCTGACAATCAATAACAAACAGACTCTGTGACCGGCAGGAACTTGCCAAAAACAGTCAAAGTAATTCTCCTAAGATCTAGAGCCCTTCCACCCACAGCGACTTACACCATCTGGGTAGTGTTTCACAGGCAACAATAAAGGACTCTTTTTCTGCTCTGCCCCATCATTAAGGAAAAACCCGTTTTTCACATGCAAACGGCACTTGTAAATTCCCCCCAGATAAGCTTGGATGCCTTGAATGATTTAAGTAAGTTTGAAAAGAATCTCAAGGTTTTCATTACCTTCAGAAGTAAAGTTTGCAAACACATCTCCAGCCTGCAGCCGAGCTGGCGTGGACGGAGCATGCGTGTGCTTCTTACCTGCCGAGCTCGAGCTCCAGGCTGATTGCAGCCTCCTGGCTGGGAGAGACCTAGGGCAGGCAAAGAACTGAGCGGTCCGTCGCAGGTTGCCTGGGGAAAGATAGGTGCTTGGGTTTCTCCAGAGGAACGCGCTCTCTGCACTGTCAGTCAAAAACAAATTGGTACAAGTTTGAGTAGGAATTACCTGAAAGCACTGAAGAGAGAAAGAAAGAGGTTGGGAGAGATTAGGCAGAGGAGGGAGGGGCAGAGAAGGAGGGAGGGAGGAAAGGAGAGAGAGAATGGATATCAGAGAAAGGAGTCCGTGATGTCACTGTGTATCTTAAAGTCCTAAGGAAATCTACAGACCAAGCAGAATTCCAAGTCTCCAGCCCTTGGCCCCCAAACACCTGTACAATAGCAAACTGAAACCTCCTTTAAAGGTCAGCTAAACTCTGAAGAAACTGGCCACCCTTATCAAAGCCTTTTTAAAGGTCTCTTTGCGTATGTAAACTATAAATAAATAACCAGAATATCTTTTCCAATGAGCTCTCCTTTACATGCCCTTCTCCCCACCTCTTCCTTCTCACCCCAAAGGAACATTAACAAAACTCCCCGCCTCCTGGGGAGGCAGGGACTCAGGGACAGTCCATGCCTGAATCCCAGAGGCAGATGTCACACAGGGGAACTCCTGCGGTCAGCTCCATCCTGGTTTTCTAGTTGCTTTGGTTTCTCTCCTGAACAAATGCAAACTAGTTGGACAGATGTGGGTAAAGCTGGGTGTTTGTGGACCATGGGAGTTGGGCTGGGGGGAACCATCTGGAAACTGGTCCAATTTTTTATCATAGTCTGACATTTTTATGATAAATGGCCAGAAATTCTTGGAGCAGGCAGGTCGGGGGAGATCTTTTGGGTCTGGAAAGGAAGTCGTGAGGGTCTTTCTGGAACTCAGCAAAGTGTCTTTCATACGGCCACTGTGTTGAAGGGTCTGTCTGAGGGGCCCTTGTGCTTTCCTGGTCCTCCTGGGACACAGCATATGGGGATCAAGGTGATGCTTCAGGTGACAAGACATTCGTTTACTGGTCCAAAGACAGCACCAACAAGGGCACAGGCTTTGGTCACAGAGGCGGTGGGGACACATTGCATGTCCCCTGCACAGAGACTCTGCTTGGAATGTCCTCCCTCGCCGTCTTTCAAGGTCCAACCCTTTATCAGTGATCAGGGCTCAACCACCTGGTCCCTGCCTAGGAGGCTGTCATCCAGTGTGGCCCCAACCCACCTGTGTGCTTCGGTGCCCTTCCGGTCTTGTGTGTCATTTACCTCTGTGTGAAATCGTCCCATTGCTATCATTTTCTGTCTGTGTCCTGCTTTGGAATTCGACCATGCTTGATTTGGTTACCAAACGTCCTGACACATCATTAAACCTCAGGAAAGCGTACAGGTAAAAGGTGATGAACAGAGGATCTGATTCAATGCAATTCAACTTTAATTCTTATCTTCTTATATTTAATCAGCACATTCAGCCTCAGCTCCTGTGAGCAAACTAGTATTTGGCTACTCATTGTAGAAAAACTTTTAAAAGCATTAATTTGCTGTTTTAGTAGCCATATTTTAAGGGTCAGTAAACAGAAGCCAGAGGGGGTCTGCAATTAGGCCAAAGTCACAGAGCTGTGGAACAAACAGCTCTTCCCTCCTGGTTCCTGTGTGTTCCGTTGTTACACATTTTCCACAAATTTCTGTTTTGTGGGCATGCATGCACAGAGACTCCTTCGACCACCCAGGGACACACAGTAGGACTTGCAATCTCAGCTGGACACTGGCCGAGTTTGAATCCCTGCAGAACTGTCCATGAAAGAACTGATACTTAGTTGTGGTGGTGGAAGAAAAAAGTCTCCAGGAGTACGATATGTTAAAAAGTTAAAGGTTAGACAGTGTTCTGCACTGCAGTCCTGTTTACCTGTTTCTGTTCTTTTTCATTTGGTAATACGTCAGCAGTTAGATCCGGAGGCTGCCGATCTCAGAGAATTCGCCACAGGATGTGCGGCATTATGAATGCATGACTGGAGGGCAGACAGGAGCTGAGGAAAATTCTAGAAGGACCCTCCACGAGCTATCCAGCATGGGGAGCAGATTCATTTGGGATGTTTTAGGGGAGGAATGATCTGTCCAGGTATTTCAGGAAATTTCTGATTCTAAGGGAGGGAAGTAGAGAACACTTCTAATCCTGGTAATAAATATTTTGTGTCACCAAGTCTCCCTGCCACCCAGCCTGGTTTTTAGGAATAAGATCTAAAATCGACTGTATAAGATTATATGAAATAATATCACTGATCGATTTGTCATTAAAGATGATTAATAGTACTAATGTTTAAGCCTAAACAACAAACCTGAATGCCTGTTTGGTACATTTCCTCTCTCCCTCCTTCCTTCCTTCTTTCCTTACCCTTTGCATCCTCTCTCTCTCCTTCTTCCCTTCCTTCCTCCCTCTGTCTGTTGGTTAATTGAAAGCAAGACTTACATGTGTCAAATTTGAATAAAAATATACAGCTAAAATATGTATTTTTCCCTGAAGTTCCAAATAGACATCTGAGTACTGGGCAGAAATCTTCAAAAGCACCAACATTGTAAAGAGATCCATTTCCTAAGAATACTTTCCAAAAAAAGAAAAAAAGACCACTAAAGTGCTTCCAGTTCTCATCTTGGCTTGGACAGAGACATATAAAACCTTGAAGGGAGATGAGAGGAAAGCCAAACATTTTTACCTTTGAATAGGCCCGCTTGGGCTGTGTTAGGGGTGGAGCGCCTTATGGAGGATTAAGTCAATTCTCGGGACCTTATCAGCACTGCACAACATGCCACCAGGAGCTTCAGGGGTCCCCAAGGCTCGTGCGTGCGTGATGCGACAGTTGCCTCTGGCTTGCTGCTATCATCCTGGTCTTGGAGATGAAATGCAGGTGAACCATGGAGAGCAAAGGGTGACCCTGTCCTCTGAAGATCCTGCAGGCCAGCAGGGAGGACCCGCTTATCTCTAGCTTCCTAGGCAGAAGTGTGCCTCAGGTAGGCAAAGTCAAAATCTTATCTTGATGGGAGCCCCAGGAGCAGATGTTCGGACAAGATTGTACACACCCCTTAATAAAGAAGGCATTCAGGAAGGAACCCAGAGGGGCAGCGGAGGAAGTAAGCTAGGCGGAAAGAGGCCAAGATACAACTGTGGGCCAAGGCGGAGGTCCAGCCCTGGCTGATCCTGGGTTCTGACATCGGGACAGCACCTAGTTAGGAGCTGGGTTTTCGGGGTCCTGCCCAAGCAGCCTTGGGCGGAGGGGAGAATGAGTGTTAGGTCATGGATCTTCTGAGCGCTGGGGCTTTCTACATGGGCAATCTCTGGGGCACCCACGGTCCCCCGGCAGTGTGATGAAGGTGGGGAGGGGCTCCCAGCCAGCAGCAGCCAGGCACAGAGACACAGGATGGCTCCCAGGAGCAGCGAAGGGGGATGCGGAAGGTACCCCTCTCCAGGGGCTCCCCTCACTCCCTCAGCGTCTCCTAGCCTCCTTCTCTACTCCCTCCATTTCCCAAGCAAATAAAATCAGCAATCTCGGGAGTAAACTTGGAAGGTGATTTAAAATGCATTTACTTTATTATACATGTGGTCATTTATTCCAAGTAGGAGAAGGGTCCTAGCACGGCTTTCTTATCTCTAATAGACTCGTTTGTGGCAAACTTGCTTTGATTAGCAACTGCCCTGGGTGCCTTCTCTTTGATTTCTGTTCGCTGGATTACAAACTCTCCCCAGTCTCTACACTACTTAAATTACTGAAAGGTGGGTAAATAGCTAACTGAAACATAGCACGAGATGTGCTGTACTGTGGAAGCATTTCAGAGGCCTGCAGAGGGCTAACTCTTCCCAGAGCTGAAGGCAGGCTTCCAGAGCAGGGACTCATGAACTTTAGCTCATAAGATATCCACAGGTGGACTCGAAGTGTTGCACACATACCAGGAGAAGGACTAAGTAAATCAAGGGTAAAAAAGCCAAGAGACCTGTCTTCCTTGATGGGTCGGCAATGGGCACTGACCTCGGCCCACGGAGCTTAGCTAGAGTCACGAGGGGAACCTCACCTCCCCTTGTCCTGGGGTATCCTTGGGGGGAGGCAGCTGAGCAGCGAGCAGATTCCAGCCTCCCAGTGGAGGGTCCCCACCTTCCCACTACCCTCCCAGTACAAAGGATTCCTCCTGGGGAAACGGTAAGACACTCGTTGATTAGATGGCACAAAAACTGCCAAGAGATGAAAACGGTACTTGCGAAGAACACTACCCCCAAGTTATTTCTCTGCAGGGTGATAGCTCAGTCTGGTTTTAACATTAAAAAATCTAGGAAAACCCTCAGCCTCAGGCAAATTTCAATGACTGTTCTTGTGGGTGCCCTTGGGTCTCTTGGGGTCACCTGTTCAGTATTGAAAAATGAGTTCCTTTGGAGCTATTGTAAGTCGATAACACCAAAAAGACATTTGCTTCAGGCACTTGTAAAGTCTAACTGTCCAGTGGCAGAATGTGTTCTTACAATTTGAACTCCCGGGTGCGGTGGTTCATGCCTGTAATTCTAGCGATCTGGGAGGCTAAGGCAGGCCCCATTGGTCTGAATTCAACCTGGGCAATCTAGACCCAGCCTCCAAGTAAAAAAGGACAGGGAGGCAGCTCATGCAGAGGCCCTGGGTTCAAATCCAGGACTGAAAAATAAATAAATGCCAGAGTCTCCACGCAGAGGACGCGTTCTCCTTGAGCTCCCTCCGGAAGGTTCTGAGTCTCTCTGGGCGGCAGGGTTCCAGGGTCCTTGGGTAGCAAAGCACCTGACAGATCTGGCTTCCCCTCCCCTTACTCAAATCACGCTTTCCTGCTGCAGGGTTGGTGCAAGCTCACGTCCATGTTAAAAATGCAGTTTGTTTCCGGCTCGATGCGGATCCGCTTCTACTAAGTGAACTCCTTCTCACGCTTTTTATTTTTGTGTTAGTGTACTTTGCAGTATGCATACACATATCACAGCCTGACCGGGCTCCTCACCCTCTGACTTCCCATCCCCTCCTTCCCCGGAAGCCCTTTCCATCTTCACAAACCCTGCTTCTCTCCTTTATTTTGCTCTTGAGAGGATTTATATTCTGGTTTCTCATGAAAGAGAGACTGCGTGACATTTGACTTCTGCAGCTGATGTATTTCACTTAGCGTGTGGTCTGCTGGCGGGGGATGTAAACAAGCAGTGACTGCTTTCCACCGTCGGCAGCACTGTTACCAGAGGCAGGGGCCCTTGGTACTGTTTTCCAGGTTCTTGGTGCTGCCAACAAGTCATTGGACAAGACACACAAAGAACGGAGCCGAGGTGTTCATTTATGGAAGATGGATAGGAAGTACATTCTGTAGGGTGAGAGAAGACAGTGAGAAGACTTACAGGGCCCAGAGGGTAAGGAAAAGGGGTGTTTTGTGCCCCAAATTCCCAAGTTGCCTCCCTCTCATGCAATAGGGTGTTGGGACAAACTTCTATCAAACCCTCAAGCCCCACGCCATGATAACCTCTTCTGTGGAAGGGCCAG